TCTAGAAATTTCTGACCTTCGTCAAGTACCAAGCATATCGGATGAACGCATGCTCGCTAAGACACACAGCCCGCCAAAGTTTAAGTCAGTTTAAATGCCGTGCCTCGTACGATATTCTTAAAACGTGTTTTCCTTTTCCCTCGGAGATATGTCCGTTAGTAGTACTCCGCATGACAAACTTCGCGGGCCGCAGCGACGTAATGTAAAGACAGTATGCGAATTCCTCATAGGTAAGAATCAAAAACCCTATAGTAGTATAATTCTGCCGAGAAGGGCAAATTTTATTAAATCATGAAACACCTGATCAGTTTATATGGTGTGTCTACTTCACCGAAAAACTCTAATAAATTTACGTAAGATCAGTTTCTTCAACCAGCCGATATAGCTGTTTCATGATGCTTTAACTTGAAATTACTTTTCTGGCTACGAGAGAAACATGACGTCAAAAAGATCTCCACTTTGTGAAGGGTTTCCCTAGCAGTAAGTTTAACGTTGGTCCGATGAATGGCCTATTAAAGTTCCCTATAAAGCACCCATTGAATCTGAAGGAATAAACGCACAATATTGGTCAACTTTACAAACAGTCAGTTGGGAATGCCGCTACGCGGCATGGATCTAGGCCTTATTGTGGCAGTGGTCACATTTTAAAGTTCGGCTAAGTACTGGAGGTAATAGAAACAGGTCTTTCAAAGATTTTTGAGTGTACCTTCAAAAATGAGCCAATGACGTGCTATATAATTTGCCATCATCTAAAAAGTAGTTCTAAAGTTGAGTAAACATTTAATGAAGGGTATGATTTTATGTTGTTTGTCGTGTTCCTTTTAATTTAGCCTCTGAGTATGCGTTTGTGTGACCAAAACCACCAGAAACATCTGTTTAACTTTCGGTTCGGTTAACTAACAAAAGCAGTAGAAATTTAAAAAAAAAGATTACTATTTATATTATTTTGATCGTAGTCATTTTCATGCTACATTAATATTCTACAACACTCTTAGCAACTATGGGATTTTCGTATATACGTATCGTTAAATAGATGATCTCATCCATGCGTGGTCCTATACTTGGAGCGATGGTAATACCTTAAGGAAAGATTACGCCTGAACGCATTCACTTGCCGAGCGTTCATTCGTGAAGAACTCCACGGCGAGATGCTGAATGATATCGATGCATATTGCGAATAGGTTGCAACATGGTATTCTACAGTGTGTAGATCGCTATATACCTACGTATAGAGTGATTGGCTTGAATTCTGGCCTTTTTTCGATCGGTCGGTTACAATTCCATGAATGTATTCATCCGAAACCAATACTATTAGATATGAAATAGTTCCAAGAATAATATAAGCTAACTTGCAGCTATGGTGGAAACAGTGCTTCGCCATTGGAAACAGAGTTAAAATCAGCTGTTACCCAATCTCTTAACGCATAAGGCGTCTACAGACATAATAAGCTTCTTCGATTAGCCCAGATTAGCAATGTGCAACATCTGAGATACGTTTGTGGCTGCAGAAGTAGCAAATTCTAGCTTACAACTCGATAGAAAATATACGATAGACAAAAAATTGTACGTACTCGATAGTCGATCAACGCTATCTAAAGACACAGTTCTAATGACTTTTCCATTTTGTTAACACCGTTAACGAATATATATCATACGAGTAAAGTTACCATGTTATCGATTGTCGACGAGGAGGCTAGGTACACGAGAGGGTCAGACAGACGTTTTCTGAGGTCAATCAAAACTTGATGCCCACATGGTGTCGCTCGTTTCTCAATATTCTTGCAAGGAAAATGGCAGGTTGTTCTCGTTTCTTTTCAAACAAGAAGGTCTTTATTCGATGGGATACAAAAATCAATCACAAGAAATGATCGCGGGATTGTTCACGATCCAGAGAATTCGATAAAACCTTTTGTGGATGAATCAAATCTTCAATCGACGTTCATGTTCTGTGTCGTGTACAATGCAGCAAAGGTCATATTAGGAAGCTGAAAATACCACCACAAAGATTTGTCTACATCTTTTACATAAACTATCTATCAGAAGGTCATACGTCTTCCATTAAGATGATGCCCCGGTACATACTTACCAATCAGTGTAACATGGGCTGGTTGGGAGAATGAACGAATTCTGGGTTCAACCTAACAAGCTGCCATATAGCCAAGACTGAAACCCGTTGGTTTACCATCCACGAAGCATAATCGAGAGAAAGTTCTACAAGTCGAGAGTCCGACATCACAATGTGGACTCACTTACTCGTTATATAAGAAAGGGGCTAAGAGGACGGCAAAGGGAACACTTCAAACGAACCTGTGATCCATTCAGGTTTTCAATTGAAGCTGTTATCAAGGTGAAAGGAGTTACCATTAAATAAACATGATCGTCAGACATGACACTTTTAGCATATCTGGAACATACCGTTGAGACGTTTATTTTTCTATAGATATCGCCAACAACTTTATATATAAAGAAACATATATATATGTTTCTTCTAATATGTGTTTAACTGCTATTTATCTTGTCTCCCTCATCAGATGCAAGAATTTACCTACATGTCTCATGATATAATACAGCTTATCCTGAATTATAGTGATACCTGATAGATAATCGGTTCGTTTATCGTTAGGTAAAACCTAACTGAAACATCTGTATTCTTATCCGTATCTTCTGCTCGTCAGTTTTGTTTAGACCTCTCTTGTAAGTCGTCACATTTTCGCCGCCATCTTAAGCCCGCTTAATGGAAATTGGATTGGCAAACGACGGCCCTTGCAAGAAATCTAATATAACTTTCATCAAACGTCTTTAAACGAGCCTCACTTCGTCGCTGCAAGAAACCTTCAGTGGGACGATCGAATTTATGAAAGGTCGTCACATGGCTTCTCGTAAGCTGTTTCATTAGAGATTCTCCATATGGATCCGCTTATTAGCCGTTATAACGTTCGAATAACTATAAAATATGCGCCAAGATCTAGAACGTGAAGAGCTATTATATTTCTGCAGGATTTCATGCTGGTAGATTTTATCGAAACGCAACATTATAGATACATATGAACATTGAATAAGTGCCTACAATTTGAACTGGTGCGTGCGACCTACAAAGTGACTGCTTTATTCATGAACTCTATGAATGATTCGTTTTCTGATAGTTATAATAAAATCAGCGTAGTAGAATTATGGTGGGCGGAATTGGCGATCCGTTTTATCTAGGGGAAAATATTGGGTACTACTAGAGGTCGAAGGCTCGATACCGAAAACTAACGAATAGTTCGTTTTGTTCCGGTCGGAATTCGAACGTCTGCGATCGTCATTGGGCTCATAGCTATTATGCTAGCAACATGTCAATATCCAAAACTATATGTGCCAGACAGGTATATTTATTTTTCTTTTTGTCCAGCCTCTCTTCCTTGCCTGGTATTTTTGTCAGGGCAAACTTTACTTAGCGCTAGGCGGTACCGAAAGGTGTCTTCCACGCAACACTTGACGTCTGCCAGGCAGCCAGCCAGCCAGCCGTAAGACTGAATTTTAAAACACTTCCGTCCTATGCTATGCTTTATATTCTTCGTTTTCCTGTTCCTCTTTCTTAGAGTATTTTTTTCTAGCTCAAATCGATTCCTCGACTCTTCGACTTCATGCACCTTGTCTATAATTTACGCACGCACACGCACGCACATACACGCACTTACGTTCCAATGAACGAGCGAACACCCCCTGACTGTCGTAGCTGTGGCGATGGTAATGCTCGGTAATGCTCGTAGGAGTGGTGGTCACTATGAATGGTACCTAGCTCTGTTGGGAAATATGACGGGAGAGGACATTACTAAGGGAGCTGTGCCGGTTGCGACAGCAACGAGGGCTCGGCGACCGGATGCAGTCTGTAAATCGGTAGACTGGCCTGCCCTCGTTCCTCCCCCCTTCCTTCTCCGCGCCTGCCTGCCATACCGCAGGTCGCTCAAGAGGGCAGCAAGTAGCAAACAGGAGAAAATGTTCGACGATGTGGGATGTCTCAGGCTTGAAATGTACAAACCTCCGAGGAGCATGACCTTTGCAAGTCAGCTGAACCAGCAGCGTGCGCGAACTTCCCATCCACAGGGCCCAGTGATTGTCGGTCTTCGATCTTTACCGCCGGCGACCTCTTTTGGGCACTTCGATTGTAAATAAATGATTAAGAAGTCACCATCAAAAAAAATCCTGCTGCGGATATAGAATTGATGCATGGTTCGCCACATCTGTCTTTAGTAATCTGTGTAAAAAATTCAGAAAGGTATGGATATATTTTATAATGTGGACAGTGCTAGTAATGAATACTAGCATATAGAACGATTTAAACTGATCCAGGATTTTATAATACCGTTTGAAAACTATAGTTATTCAGACTTACAGGCACGAAATGTGTATTTCATGAACGTATGTAATATAAATAGGCTTACGGTAATATGACATTATTACGTGAGAACAGGTATTAATACCATGCTGTGCAAAGTCTCAACATTGCCGTCGAAGACGGACGTCTGGGTGCTGCTTATTTGTTACTTATCGGATAGTCAAAGGTGAACGAATTATATAGCAAACAATGAATGAAACCTTTACAATATCAAAGTGATGGCTAATAAGGGCGAACTAGTTTTATATCCTTAGAATCGCTTAGGACAGTTTTTGACCTGGCAAAAAGAGTACTAGCCAAAGGCTTCGCTTTAATCACACCATCATAGTGCCTCCGAAAAAAAAAATCAGTTGGCTGCCATCATAAAGACACATGTACACGTCAATGAAGGGTTCGTTTAATCGTTTAATTTATCAACATTTGCGCGAGTAAAAGTTAACGTGATTGGTTGGAATCATGTAAAAAAATCCAACTTCGAACGAAAATCCTCTGCCTGAAATACTAGTGAAAGACTTTTAAGTCATTGCGTTTGTACTATTGCAATAATAATGTTGGGTTATTTGTATAAAACTTTTTCGGGTTTTGTAAAAACAACTCCTAACTCTAATAAAGACGAAATCGCTGCAAAAACATGATTTATTTCCTGCAGTCGCGAAGTTTTTTTTTGTATTTTCGCCTAGCAAAGGACAATATAAAAAAGGCCAATCGTTTCATACTCTGACTACTGCGATGCGTATCTCACGACGAATGAAAAATAAAGTTGAAGCTGACTGCTATCAACTGGCACGTTCCTTTGCGGTAATAGTTCTCAGGCGTCGGTTTCATAGGTCTGTACTGTAACACGTGACCTGCTAAAAAAAGATATATATATAGTGTGATTAATAAGGGTTGCTGCAACTTAGGCCAAAATGAGCTTTCAGCTGAAGGCTCATCGAGGCAAAATTTAGAATATGTCAATACTGACGCTTTTTCCGACTAGTGTTGTTCTATGAACGTAGGAAAAAAGAATGGCTTAACGTAAACTCGAATGCAGCAAATAGCTCCATTCAGTGGTTCAGCCAACCTAAAACGTGAAGATTTAGTTTAACACGTAACAAGACAGTGTCTCAGATAGATGGAAAAGCTTTTTTAATAATTAAGCTTTTAGTGTAATTATGCATATATTATTCTTAAGGCTAAGTACTATCGATTGGATATTAAGCTAAACTGTAACGAACCGAATGTCTTACGTATTTATATGTACATACATCTGTACGTCTAAACGCATATACGTTCGAAGAGCCCCATAAACGTGTTGTTTAACATGTATTTGTGTTTTCCAGTGTTAATTTTTCAAGAAACTTACCTATTCTGCTCACATTTTGCACAAGGCAATGCCCTTACGTTTCGGTCCGATGAGACGCTCGATCTCCAGTTCTGAGGCATTTGTTCCTTTTCACCTTCTACGGAGAAGCCGTTCAGAAAATAAAAAATACTGGGGAAAATCAGGAACAAGATAGGCCTAAGGAGTGTACTAGTATAAAGTAAAAGAGTATTGGGATGTCTGCACGTTTTTTTTACGTTGGTGCACGGTTACGAACCTTTGACAGAAGCACATTGAGCATCTTCGGGGGTCGAGTTAGCGGGGCTAGTACCGAGTGAAGCCATGTAAGCCTCGATGTCGACTTTCTTGGCTGGCACTTGTGCTGCCTTTGCGCGGAACATCGGTGCTGTGTTCAGCGGGAACAACCGATACACACACAGTTATTAGTCGCCAGCTTCGTTCTTTGTTGGGCTGTTGGCAGTTAGATCTAGTGTACTATCTTCGCTATAGATTTGTTCTCAAGCGGATGGGTGGCACGTAGATTCTAGTTGAGCTATCTGCACATTACAGAGTGTAGCGGATGGACAAAGCCGATGCTATAGCAGTCAAAGTGTTTTTCATAAAACGCTAAAAACATTATGCAAAAAACAACAAGAGCCTAAATTGGGAAGATGATACGCGTTAAACGATCATTTTTCTCGATTGATTTCCGATAAACGTTATACCTTCATCATGACATCGATTTGAGCGTTGATTCTAGAAGTGTCGGCTGATTTTTAGAATTCAGTGAATTTACGAGATACGCAAAAGAGTAACAGACGTATAAAAGTGAGCAAAGCTTAGAAAAGAGAAACTCATAGCAAAACAGAAATAAGTTAGAGTCAGGAGAAAGAACAGTGACCAATGATTTTCCAGGACACTAAAAGTCAACTGAAGTTAGCGAGAACTGTAATCGCCCGAATAATAATAACAACAAGAAGAAATGAGGTCAAAATAATCAATAGTAGTACAAATCTTCAAATTCAGTCTTCGAAAAGGAATAACTCTATATATGAATGTTTTGGACGACTTGAAAGAGGTCATTGTTTGCTTTTAAACTAGCCAATAGAAGGTGTGCACATTTCGCCTAGAACTATAACATGATGAAACAATTGTTCAAATAGGCTCTGAATTTCAATTACAAGGTCGTCTGTCAGGCAAAGTTTCTGAGCAAACGATACTTGCGACAAACATTGAAAAGAAAAAACGACCAATTAGACAATAAAAGATGAAATTGACTTGAACTGTTGCTTCACGAGTCAGTATAAAGGGAGCTGATTGAAATTTACGGGATTACTGCAATTTAAAAAGGGCTTCAATTCAAACTGTTCCATTTAGGCTACACTTCCAAATAATTATATTCGGCTACATCATCGTTCGAACCGAATCGAGTTTTAGTCATTGCATTTCATTGGCGTAATATTGGGAATAAGGCTCACCTGCCTAGTATATTTTTCAGGAGTATCTAAAGTGAGGGCTATTGAGGTATCCTTTTGCAGGAGTCAATCGCGAATGTGTACATACATTTCAAAACTGATTAGCGTCTGTGAAGCATCCCTTTGCTCTGCAACTATATTATTTCGCTTGAGTCTGCGAGTCCTGTCGCCCTAGTCACCTCAGTAGCGGAAATCCCTTCAAGGCACTTCCGGCGGGTTTCCATCAGGCTCCATCCTGTCTGCAAATGTCCTGCGGCCCTCAGCCAAGCTGTCATGGACCTATGCCATTCCTGTATCCGTATCAAACAAGAATGGGACAAAATATTTTCTCAAGATATAACTTGACGAATAGCTTTTGCTGGAACAATGCACGGGGCTCGAACTGTAATTAAGATGAACTCGTCTTCACTGACCTATCAACACTTTATTACAATAAGGCAGAAAAGTACCGAATAGACAGGGATGCAAAGGTACGCAGATGACAGCCTTTGAAGATAAGCTATCTGAAGAGGGCTTTTTCTGAATATATATTTTATCAAGGATTTGGGAATTAATTTCCGATGATTTTTTATGTTGGACTCTTTTTATTCGTCGTGTGCTATCCTGTTTTGTTCCTTGTCATTTGCAATTTATGCATAATTTACAGTGTTAATCTGGCCATCTTCTAATCTTATGGGTTTAGTGAAGACGGCAAGACTAAGACCGTGAAGTATTCCTATTTAGCAGTTCCCTGTTGTCGTTCGATTAAAATGTGTGATTCTACGTACCGCAATATCATATAATACGACAAATACGCAATACAGGATTATAGCGTCAGATCAGCGTACTACTTAGTTTTTAAACAATCATCTTGCAAAACCTTGACCCATCAGTAGGTCGTAATTCGGTTAACTATCGTTTGCAAGAGATGTTGATGCTCGGATACTTAGCCATAAATCTCACGCCAGTTGATGTCATACCGCATTGCTAAAGTACAGAGAATAATTAAGTAAGCAAACCGATACCAATGGAAGCGTTTCATATATATCATCTGTTTAGACATTAGTACAAACACACAAAGCTGCCACTGAAGATCTTGTTGATAAAATCTCGTTTAATCATCACACGCTGCACACCAGTATCGCTATAGCACTGTGATCACCGACCTTATCATAGGTGCATCTGTTTATATACACACTGTTTCGTCTGTTTGTTTAATAATAACAGAGTTTTGTTTGTTTATACTGCGCTCTGTTTCTGTTGAAGTTCTTTCTGCCTAGTCAGACTTTTACCTCTGCAACGTATAATAAACACCTATAAGCACGCAGCCCTTATGCGAAACGATAGTTAGAATTGCTTGCTTTTTTCTAGATTACAGGACAAAAAAATGAATATTAAGAAGGTCATAATATTGCAGCTTGCATAGAAAAGCAAATCACTGCTACTGAGATGTATTAAGATTTGTACATGAGTTACTCCGTAAAGCACCAATCCTAATTAAGAAAATTAATCTTATTGAAAGAGCACAAAGAAGGAGCCGTAAAAAGAAAGTGGGCCATAAAAAATTGACGGCGGGTTATTTGAACCTCTGGGACAGGGGGGTAAGGAGGCAAACTGCTCTGTCCGGTTGTAGCGTCCAGCCACCTCGTCATTCATTCATGCAGTGGGCTCTCGGCAGAAGCATCAGAAGATGCAGGGTGCTGCACCATAATGAAGCATCGTCGTAAAATTTAGACGACCTGAATGACAAAATACGAAATTATTCACAGGTAGAAGTAGTAATGTTGCAACCATCGCTCTTTGGCATTTCTTGCGATACTCTCCCGATAGCAAGCACGTTTGGCGGACGCCAGCAACTTATTCACCATTAAGTGCTTCGGGCCGCAGGTAATCGCTTAGCCTCTGGTTACCTAAACGCTGAAATCACTGTTATGCCCTTTCCACCAATTATACGATATGATCCCTTAGAAAGCGCACAAGACTATTGTAGGCCACTATGCAGTTCACTTCGTCAATGGAAGCGGCGACCCTAGACAATGCGTTTTCTGCTAAAGTATCGTTAATAATAGGGCAAGTGAAGCATATTCAATATAGCTGATAAGATTATTAAGCACCTATACGGGCCAGGAGGCATCTTGATAAAAAAAAAAAAAAAAAAAAAAAAAACAACACATATGGGTCCTATGATGAGCCGTATCTCGATTGGATAAAAACGTAATATGGTTAACTCGCATAATTAATAATGTTATAGGCCAATGCAATCGAAAGTAAGCAATCTATGATTCTATATTTATTGGTCACAATACAAAGGAACAAAACGACACACCTAGCTTCGAGATAGAAGGAAAATTTGTCGTATCATTATTTCTCATATTGTTTTCTGTTGTTAAGTTAAGCACATATCTGTGATCGCCTCTATAACGAAGTTGTGCCAAAGACTAGATATCTTTTACAGCTAAAAGGTACATTCATCACTGCTTCCTATATATGGCTCAAAATAAGCAAAAATCGACTCAGACTTCCTTGCATGGAAACCCTATAGGCTATAAAGTTATGTTCTACATGTCCGCGCATACCTTTCTATTTTGTGATTAAAAATTCCACTCCAGGTTTTTACCATCCACAGGTTAGCGGAATACGTATACTTGTATGCATAGCTGCTTCTTGCGTTGGATAGAACTTGAAAACGTTTGAGAACGTTCTCAAAGCTAATTTCAGCCTTGTGGCCTATATCCTTTGACTGAGTCGTCGGAATATCGCTGGGGTACTGGAACATTACCGAAATTCTACAGTTCATTAACGGTCGTCATTGAGAGGCCGAAAATTCGTCTTGGATTGCACCCTAGTTATAAAACATAAGCCACAAGTCACAGAAGTACTTTTCTTTAATCACAATCATTGCTGCCTAATTAATATAAAATAACCCCTGAATAGGCACTGTAAAAATCGAAATCCAAGGTACATAAATTCATATTTCAATGATATATACTTCTACTGTAAACGTAAAGGCGTTAGGGCGGTCGCATCGTTCCATCCAGTTGACGGAATCTTCTCGATTGCCTTGTGCAATAGGACGCATAACCATTAATCGCGAACTCCGATTATCAAGCCCTAGTTACACTGATCAAATTTAAAGCGTAATTCTCAAATATACTTTTGTTTCAGCGATTCAAGTCGTTCTTTCTCTGTTAAGCCCTGAGTATAACTAAATTCTACATTATTAATGTCAATATTATGAGCCTTAGTAAATATTAATTACAATATTTTCTCCTGTGAACCTTATGCATCGATTGAATGGCACAAATTGTATTAATGCAGAGGGTACGCGGTTCCCCATTCATCGACATACCACCACAAGGATGCTGTCTGTATGTATGAATGACAACTGAGAGAATTCTATTAGGAGTAAGAGATTCATTATGTAATTATTGCTTCTCTTGCCGCCACACCCGATTCCCGATAGCGTCTGCTCTTGCTGCGCTCGTGTGCCCGCAATAGCAATAAGCAGAATCGTTTTGAATGGATAACACCCTGTGTGCCAGACCCCACTGGACAACAGGGTTCGAAATCCAGCGGCCATCCATTGAATTATAACCGTTGCTCTCCGTGATTCTCAAGCTCCTGCTGGCTAGTTTCCCAGGGCGGCAGCCATATATATAAATGGTGGAGCACGCAAACCTACGAAATAGCGGCAGCACAGACGGCGGCTTCGACGAAGCAATGTCAAATGAAATAATATTTGAACTCTTAAACGGAAGAAGAATTCGCGAAAGAGCGCTTGCGCTATAGTCCACATTAATTTAAACACGATTCGGACATTCTCGACCGCGTGACACAGATCTCCTATGACGCCGGCCTATGGGCGTGGCCCACAAGGATCAGGAGCAACGGCAGATAGACTTCGTATAACTCAATTTAACAGCTCTCATGCTACATAACTAGTGCTGTGTATTGTACTGATGAACTTATATAGTGAAATTTATCAACAGACGTGGCTACGATCACTGCTGACACCGTAGATTAACAGTGTATGTCAGGTTGGTCACAAAAACCTATAGATACCTATTGAACATCATTCAGTCCGCTTCTGCTACGCGTGCTTTTACATCCTTTCAGCTAGGACAGCATATTATATCTTACTATGGTAAAAACTTTGCATGTTACGAAGTTCGACTAGTACTGGGACGCACCATTCGAAGTTTTATGTTGCCGTTTTGACTCAGAGCTTCAGTCAAGTTGATCTAGTGTGATAGGAGATCGGTGGAGATAACTGGTCATCTGGAGTTTATATACTATTGAACTGAAGTTACGATTTTTCCAGTTTAACTTTTTTCGAGCGTTAATATTTTTTTGCGCGACTCAGCAGTAAGGTCACTGCTTGTGGCATAGCCGAGATTTTTATTGTCCTGTGCATGACAGCCCTCTAGCCATTAATGGCCACCCGCTGTATCGTGCTTTTTGTCCGGTTTCGAGCGGTGGCAGTTGTATGGAATGAGATCAGTGACCAATTCATTGATTGGCTCATTTCATTATTAAGCCATTGACTATATTTTGCATACATCTAAAAATCAATCTACCTTCAGGCTGTTTCCCAACATCTCTCATACAATTCCATACAGCAGTAATTCTGCTTTGATTATTTTTTTAAATTAAATATATAGCGTGACTATAATTACTGTGATCATACACAGTTCTGATTAGACACCTGTCGTTATACGCAACTCCCCAAAAAATTCGATTCACTATCTACGACGCGATCGAGGATCTGTAGATGCTTTTTTTACGTTACAAACAGATGTTTTTACGTGTTGCGCACAGGTAGATATTGAGCAGCTGAAGGTTAGCTCGCTGAAGAGTCATTTAGTTGAAATTTCGTTGAGAGGGAGTCCTCTTATCAGAAAAGTTAGAAGGCGACCCGCTGAAGAGATGCGTTTAAAAACGTTGTTATCCCATATTTGTAACGATCCTAATTTATGAACTTCATTTGAATGAAACACCATGGTACTCACTGAAGTGTGTACATGAAATAAGCATTCTATTTTTTTTTTTAATCAAATATAAGCGCAGAAATTTTCCAGGCTTAGGGCAACTACAATACACTAGTCATTGCTTAGCAAGCACTCACTAGCCCGATTCGTATTATTGATGATGTTTAAATGACGATTTTCAGTTTTAAATACGTTTTCGTATGATTCTGTATCAATGGCTGCATTTGTATTAAACAGTTTTTAGCCCAAGTGTATTCTCGCTGCCCGCGGCCTGATCTAGCTTGCAGAGACAAGCTAGAAAGAGGAATAGATCTGGTTGAGTTGTTATTATTGGGCGTGTCCGATTGATGAGAAGATCTTCCCTCCTCGGTAAAATATCGTTCCACTGTCATCGCTCCCCGCAGATCCTAGCGACTCGTTATCGTTGTTGTAGTGGTCCTCAGTCGCTCCTGTTTGTGAGCTACTTTGCTCATGCCATTGGTCGACTGGTTGGCTACGTAAGATAGCACCAGTTTTTACGGAAGTATCTCACTTCTTTCTTGCACCGCAAGGAGTTAGCTAGATAACTGAGTGCTCCTCGTAATGGTCGTGCTAGTGGCTGATACCAGGGACATCAACGCGACGACGACAAGCTGAGCTGAGCAGTGTGAGGTGGGGTGGTATATATTAATGGTGGTTCCACGCGGAAGCCGTCACCAGCGCCGTGTTCGGCGCCTCGTCTGCCCACCATGCCCCACCTTAATAATACAATCTCACTCATTGCGCCCAGAGTCTTGTTCCTCGTCCTACCCTCACTGGCGCCTCATCAACCCCTTGTTTCGATCGTGAAATGCATGAAAAGTTCCGGTTTCGTACTTATTCCCATTAAACCGGATAGCTCGCTAATCAGTTTAAGATTTCCTAACAGGCATGAGAGGTTTGCGACATTTTCCTAGGCGATAACTGTGTTTGACAGCATTGTTTATCGATAGCAAAGGGCAGTTATATAGCGGATGTGTTTAGCCTTCTTTTTAATAGGATACTAATGTCTATTTATAATATAGTTTATTTAGGCTACCTAAGAAATGAATATATTCGCATCTGCCGAATGTATTTATTTAATTATCGAATTATGAGCAACCTGCCCTTAAAAGTCTTTCATATTTGGTATTATTTAACCCGATTAGCAGAAGTACTAAATGGCTACGTTACCGACACGCCATTTTCGAAGTTTCCCGAATAATCAAATTGTATAACTCAAGACAGCCATTGATCGCTTCAAAGCAAGTAGGAGGCCGAGTGACTTAACTTTCCAATATTTTCCAAGGCAACCTGAATCTACTTTATAAATTAGAACTTAATTCCAATAGCTTGCTTTGGATAGATCGGCGGAGAGCATACTATTAAGTTTGACAAGACTGACTACTTAACCTTCATTACTATCGATTTTGCCATATCAGTCAGTATGCGTGTTCACTATCTTTAAAAGAGAAACCAA